TCTCCAGGGCCCCGGCTAAGGTTATGGCTTGCTCTAGGAGTGCATTAACCCCCGTCGGCTCGAGAGCACACCGTAGAAGAAGTGCACAAGTGGCGTGAAGGGGAACGGAGAGAAGAACCGACTTCTCTCTCCGCTCGGTAGTTCTCTCTCCTCGTTCCACGTCAGACTCGCGGTCTCTCTATCGTGCTTACGGCAGCGAAGCTAGGAGTCGTGCTCGCCTTGCCGAGCGCGATGCAAGCGCTTTTGCGAAGTCAGGGGCGGCCTAGGAAGGGCCGTGAGGGGGGGGAGCGAGGGGGGAGTTAACGGGAGGCAGAAGGTGGTGGTCAGGCGGCGTTCTCGCGACGGCGACGGTGGCGGCGGTGGCGGCGGCGGCGTCGGCGGTGGTGGCGATGGTGGCGATGGCGATGGCGATGGCGGTGGCGATGGTGGCGGTGGTGGCGGCGGTGTGACGACTGCAGCAGGGGGGCAGAGTGGAGGGCGGCCAGCGGTGACGCCGGCCAGACTTTCTCCGGAGAGCGAAAGTGAGAGGGCCTGCCGGGATTGTGCGCCCCCCCGGTCGATCTAGGGGACAAGGGGGGACAGGGTTCTTGCTTTCACCGTGGCCCAAGCGTCGCTGGTGCACTTTTCTGCGACGTAGAAACGACGAAGAAGGCGCGCGGTATCGTGGCCGTGCCGTAACAAGCGGAAAAATCCTCTCGATCCGGAGTGGCCATTAGGCCCGAAGGAAAGGAAACTCGCGTGGGACGACGACGACGACGACGACGTCGATCGACTCGCGTCGACCTTTTCGCGGGGTTGTTCCTCTTACCGCTGCTGGATATCGAGCGGAGGGGCGATATCGCGGCGAACGGTGCGAAATTTAGCAATTAAACCGTGGAATTCACGCTCGATGGGGCAATTATCGCGAATAAATTCGAAATCGACGCCGGGCCGGGCAACGGGAGATCGTTGCATCGTCTATCGGCGTAATCCGGCGAAACTTTCTTATTTCCCAGGATGCGCATTCCGCGGGTGCGCGAGGGACGGAGAGAAAGAGCCGGTTAACGTGCAACGAGCACCGCCTTAGAGAAAAAGCGGCCGTTCGTGGCGGCGGCGAGTTAGTTACAGCAGCGACACCGTGCAGCCGAACAATTACGAATTTACTTTCTTCTTGTACAACTTCCTCGTCGATGGTCACGCTGTGGATTAGCGAGGCCCATCAACGCGGCACCGGTCCTACCTTTTTATCCCCGCTCCCTCCTTTTTTCTCTCTCTCTCTCTCTCTCTCGCCGCCTCTCGCCTCTCTTTCTCCTCTCTCATTGCCTCTCTCTTTCTCCCGTCACCCTCGCTCTCTTGGAAGCATCGCACAGTCGCGAAGGCCGAACACGGTGGAGATGTAGATTAACTTCTTTTCTTTCTTCACCTTTTTCCATTTCCTTTTATTTCTCTCTCTCTCTCTCTCTCTCTCTTTTTCGTACTTTTACCTCTGTCTTTGCTCTCTTTTTTATCTCTCGCTCGAGGCGAGCGAGCGCGAGAAAGTCGCCCGTGGTTTCCCGGATTCCAATTTCCGCGCCATTTTTCCCGACCGTCGTCGCTCTTGATCCTCGAGGATTTGGAGAGGAATCGATAGACACGAACGGCTCGAAACGTTACGTCGGAAGCGTGTTTATTCTCGACATACAGTGGAAAAACGGTTAACACG